TGTGTTTCTCAGGGACACTGCAGATCATAAAGCATAGGAGGAATGGGGACAAGACACCTTCTGTTGCAGAGCTTCAGATACAAGCAAATGTCCACAGAAGACCAGGTACATCTGAAGTCTCACCATCTTTATTAAATATAGTCAAAAGGTTCTCTGACAGAAGTAGTCAATTTTCTGAAGGCACTTTTCAGTATAAATGAATCACAATTCAAATCACCTTTGTCCCTCAAAATCTTAAACTCTGCTACTCCATTTACTTCTAAATAAAAAAGTTACTCCAACAAGAGTTTTGACCCCATAAATGCCTAACACTCCCTCAATCCACTATGGACTCTGGTATGGCTATTGATTAAAATCAGGACGTTAGCATTTTTTCCTGCCTGTGCCACTGCCTGAATGGAAGTGAATCCCTTAACCATCATGAACTGATCAATTTGCAAATGGCTATAGGGTTTTACGTTCTGGCATATCACAGGGTACAATCAAGAAGTTAATTATGACTGTGAATGCAAGAGAAACAGGCATGAATACACTGAGAATTCCCACTTTATCATAAATTTTTTTTAAGTTAAATTTTTTCTTTGAACCATTTAGCATGGCAGTTTTTGACAACAAAATATTAAGTTGGAAAAACAATTTGTGGTAATTTCTGCATTCCTTTGGAAAAGTTTTTCCACCTTGAAGAAAGAACGCCCCACCCTGCCAGAAAGAGTCCATATTCACTAAAACCTGAATTCAGGAACCTTATTAAGGTTAGACGATTAATAGCAAAATCCAAATTTTGACCGTCCCAACTATTTTCATTCTTGTTTTTGCTTTAACTCTCATTCAGATTGTTCCAATTGCACAGTAACTCCTTTTTCATCACAGTTATTACAAGAGGTTTTTAAAAGATGGCTTACCTTTTCAGCAGACTGTTCAATGGATGTCTCTACTTGCTTACTGGAAGGGCCTGGAGTAGAGTTAGCAGTTCTTGAAGGTTGAAGAGCAACAGTCTGAGTGTTGGTTATAGATTGAGAGGATCCAGACCTTTCGTTTTGATTTGACTCATTCAATCTGCTATCTCTTTCCCCAGCAATTAAATTTCTGATTTTACGCAGTTGCTCAATTGAAGCTTCCTTAGGGAAAATGAGATGAGTTTCTCCCTGAAATGCAAAAGCTTAGAAAAGTTAATTATATATTTAATATATGCAAATTAAACTATTCAGTTTAACCTCTTCTCCACTGGCCTTGCTGCAGATAGAGGTTCTAAAAGCATATTTCAGTTTCCTTTTTGTTCTAAGAAGGGCAAGGGCCACATGGTTTTATTTTTAATTTAGTTGTTCCAGGAGTAACTATAGTTGGCATCACCTCCAAACAAGGTCCTGTGATATTCGTATTTACTCAAATCCAAGATGAGGTTTTTTTCTCTCAATCACCATGGGGAAAAAGCAGCCTCAGATTCAAGCACTGACAGGGCAAATGGTAGCTCAGCTGTGGCTTTGACCCTGAATTTGAGGTTGAAGCCAAAACTGAGCCACTGTCTCTCCTGGGCTGGGTGGCTCATGCACTGTGGGATGGGACTCCCAATAAGGGAAGACCGTACAGGGGATGGCAGGCATGGGGGACACTTGCAGAGTATGGCTTGGGGAGTGGGGAAAAACTACAATGCCTTCCCCTGCTCCTGTTCACCCCCTTTTATCTTCAGCTCCAGCTGGACTCCTACCCCAACCTGGCTCTCAGGCTGGGGCTGCTACTGAGTGCCCTGAAGACAGAGCAGAGAAGGTAAGCAGCAGCGTGGGGAAGGCAAAGCACAGGGGTCTGGCCCCTCACCTCCTGCCACTGTTTTCCCCTCCACAGGGGATGAATTTAAGATGACCCCCCAATAATTATATTCTATACATAGAAAATGATAATGATTGTATAATTTTCCATGTTTAGAATCTAAATTATTGGGGGATTGCCTTCAATTCAAATTGGATTTGGGTAAACACGGTAGTTGCATAATGGAGTGGCTGGTAGGGAAACTGCCAAACTTGGAAGAAAATTCTGCAGTACATTAATTACTATGATACTACATGGAGCATGCAGAGTCAGGAAAAGAAGCATCTTCACTTTTGGGTGGGAAGTGGGAATGTAACTCAGGAATTATTCCCTCCTACCTGAGAGATAGTCAGTCTAACAAACAGCACAAAAATAAACCAGACATTTCAGATTGCTGCGAGGGAGATACCCGTGACCTGCCTTCATTTCTAGCAGAAAAATCTCAAAACTCCAACCTGTACTAAACAAACAGGTGGTTTATTTTGTAACACAAGTCCCTCCTAACAATGGTGCTTATTTATCTACACCAGGGGTGCCAAAATCTGGCCTGGTCCATGGGGCCAGATTGGGCCCATGGACCCTTCTGTTCCCTACCCCATTGCCTTCTAGATCCAGTGCACATGGGGGCCTCCCTCATCCCTGTCCAGGACCATGCTGCATATAGTGTCCATCCCGGACTGATGCGAGGTGCCCCTGTGTGTAGCATAGGTCTCAGACTGGTTGGAAAGGGTGCAGTGTGCAGCGTGGGTCCCAGGACCCACAATGGCCACTCTGGACCAGGCAGGGAGGGGGGGGGCACATATATGGCAGAGATCCCAGAGCAGGAACCAGATACAATGTGCATCCCAGGCCCTGTGTGCAGTGCTGGTTTGGTGGCTTGTGGGTCAGCTCAGTCTTAGGGGCAGCACCAGGGCCCAGATGAGGGGGCTCCATGGGCCGCATCCAGCCCACAGGCCACCCTGAACCTCCCTGTGGAATTAGCTCTAACAACCTGAAAGACCACTTTATTTCTGCAATCATAATCTTTTTCCCAGATCCCTTCCACCAGAACAGTTGTACTGGCTGGCTAAGAGGGGGAGGGCCTCATGACAACAGGAAGCAGAACAGTTGCACCTGAACAAGAGAATGAGCTGAATCTCAAAAGGGATAAGCCTGACGAAGAACTAAGCAAATTCAACATGAAAGACAAAATGTGTATTTTTCAGATGACCTTTCCATCAACTATTGCACATAAAAATTAATAAAGCCATTTCTAATGCAAGAAACTGGGAGGAACAGACACTATGGGGAGAGAGACCATATTAATAGACAATGGGCAAAAAACTGGTTTTTTGACTGCAACAGGGCTAGGATTTCACTCAAGAGTTTTCAACAACACAAGGACAACAGTTTCTGATAAAGCCTCACCTATTAACTTGCATCATTTATCTGCTATTGGGCAGTAGATATTTGTGGAAAGGATAAGAAAGTGAAAACATTAAGGGAAAAAAGAGCTACCTAAACTAGCCAAAAAGTGGAATCTAAGGTCTTGTAACTACAAAGAAAGTCTGGACCTAAAGTGGCACTAGAAGAACACACATTTATTATACAGTGAATGAAAACTGCTGCAATTACAAAATACTGAATGAAACAGAAGGCAAACTGTCAGCATTCACTCACCTCTTCAAATCCCATTTCAAACAAACATTCAACTGCTCCTCTGACAGGTAGCAATCTAGTAGAAAATGCTGGATTTCCAATCCGAATTGACCTATATTTTTCTTCATTTGGGTGGCTGATAGGATTTGAGAGAGAGAGAGAGAGAGAGAGAGAGATTTTATAATTACATTAACACAAGTAAGCCTCCAGCCAGAGTGGGGAACCCTTTAGTAACCTTTCACTGTTATTAAAAGGTGAGAGTAATTTTAAGAAACTTTGGCCTATTTAAGTGGTGCAACACATTTACCCTTACACTATTAATTCATATATTTATATGTATAACTTTCAACCAGGAATAGTGGCATGCTCATTTAGTACCAACTTAAAATTCATGCATATACTTGAAGTCTATGAAGTTCAGATCTGTGTCAGTTTAAATCAAGATCAAGACCTGGCCAACTTTACACACAAACACTGCATGTATGGCATGTGTCCTACATAAACACATAATATACATGATCAGAATTGATTGTAAAAGTTTTCTTAGGTAGAAATGAAAATTCATATTTCACAGGAGAGCTGAAGGTGAGGTAAAATCTCCTGTTTGGAATAGTTCACTTTGTCCAGGTTAGGCACAGAAGGGGGGGGTGGGAAAAGACTCTCGGCCTTTCTCTGCACCCAACCTGGACAAAACGAACTATTCCAAACAGGAGATTTTACCTCACCTTCAGCTCTCCTGTGAAATATGAATTTTCATGTCTACCTAGGAAAACTTACAAGCTCTGCTCTCTCCTATGCCTGATGAAGGGCAAGCATGCACAAAAGCTTGCAAATAAATAAACTGATTTGTTTGCAAATATCTAGTTGGTCTAATAAAAGATATCACTTCTTCCACGAGTTTTCATTCCTTTTGGCAGATGTGAGAAACTTGACAGTAGAAGTCATTTGCCCGTTTTTCTTTGAGGTGAGCAGAGAAAGAAGCAAAAGGGAAGAGATAAACTGGACCTTTTTAGATGTTCTTTTTAAACAACAATTCAAAGAGTTAAACATGAAAACAAGGTGACAAGAAGTACCTACCCCGAGTGAGTGGCCAACCCAAAGGGACTGTGGTGTACGAAATGCACAGGCTGCCCTAAGGAGGGTAGCAATGTACCGCTGTGCATGATGTATCCAGATGCGGGGATGATGGGCAAGATACCAGGGGCTGAACACCTGGAAGGGGGCCCGGGGCCCGGCCGGGGCTGGCAGCGCCCTAGGTACAGCGCCCAGGCAGCGATGGCCCTCGAGGTGAGACCCGGCACGGGGACAGCCCTGCGCGCTGCCACCAGCGCTTTCCTAAAGCTGATCAGATCCCGCCCGCCCGCTAGCTGCGAGTCACAAACTTCCTGCCCGGCGCCGCTCTGTTTGGCGGGCCCGCCCGCCCGAGCCACTGACCTGATGATGTTATCCGCGTAGGTGAGCAGCAGCCGCGAGGCCTCCAGGAAAGCTTCTCGGGCGTTCTGGCAGAGCTCGCTCACGGCTTGGGAGGACGGTGGCGAGGATTGGCCCACTACGGCCGCCATCGTTCTTCAGTCGGGTGCCTGGTGCTTTCCTCCCCTTACCCGCGAGCAGACGCTTTTTAACACGCGCCCGCCCGCCCCAAATCCGGAAGGCTCCGAAGCAGTCGCTGGCACAGCGAAGGTGATGCGGGCGGGCGCGTTTTGTCTCAGGAACTTTATTGACCTGATGCAGGCGGACTCCGGGGCTGCCGCTTCTCCCTTCCTGGTCTGTGCCAGCGGGGGAGGAGCTACTGCTGCCGCTGGGGACACAGGGGACGGTTCTGTCATACGGCACGGGCCGAGTTTAGCCAGGTCGATACTATTGAGCATGCGCAGTAGTAACCGCGAAGCCGCTGCCCTCAGCACTTGTTCCCGGAACCGGGGTTGAGGATTAAAGGGCCAGGCTCCATTTTTTTTCGCCCAGCCTGGGGCTGCAGCTGGTGCCAGAGCACACCCTTCCCTACTGCCTTGGTGGGGAGGAGGCCTGGGGAAATGACAGGTCCAGAGTTGCTTGGATGAGGCAAGTGGGTGAATGATTTCAGGTGTATGAATTTTCATTTCTACCTAGGAGAACTTTTACGATCTTTGCAGTCTCTCCTATGCCTGATGAAGGGTGCCCAAAAGCTTGCAAATAAAGGATTTTTTTTTTTCCAAACATCTAGTTGGTCCAATAAAAGATATCACCTCTGCCACAAATTTTGCTTGCTAGTATTAGGCTACACCAGGAAGCTGGGGACTGGGCCTCTTCCCAGCCATTCTGCATTCTCATCCTGCCCCAGGCTGCACGTCCGGGGCCTTTACAAATCGGGGGCAACAGCACTGCAATAGCATGGGTATTGTTAAAGGTAAGGAGCGGGTTGTCATAGGTTGGCCTGTGTTGCTCTAGCCAAATTACCGAGAGCTTTAGTCGGGCCTCCGTTGCCTTCAGCGACATCAGACTGACCATCCCTAGTTATGTCAGGGAGGTCACCTGCAGTAGGGAAATCTGTTGTTAACACAAGGTATGTGTCTGATCATGTGTTCGAGAAAAGGCGTTCAAGAAATATACACGGGTATAGGTTGTAGTCATGTTGGTCAAAGGACATAGGAAGGCAAGGTTCTTTGGGTGAATCTGATATCGTTTATTAGACCAACTAATAAAAGATTCACCCAAAGAACCTTGTCTTCAAGAAATATAAGCATTCAAGAAAAGGCTAACAGCAAAATAACTTTTTTCCCCCTCAATAATAAGGTGACAACATGGCTACTTGCAGAGGGTAGGCTGGCCAACTAGGCCACTAATTAGCTGGCACAGAAAATGGATCTCAAAAAAAAAAATTACATCAGTGCCTGTGGATTTAAGTGCCTAGCTGTTGGCTTGGGCAACTTGCTTAAAGCGACACAGTGAATTAATGGTAGATACAAGTGAAACTTGTCCTGTGCCCTATGTAAACAAGATCTTCTCAGGGCATATGAAAAATAGGAAACACTTATTCTCCACTTATGTTTATGTGTATTGATAATCATAGAAGCACCCTCAAAGCTAACTGTTGAGCTATAGGGTGAAAAAACCCAGTTGAGTAGAAGCAGTTTAATGGCCAAATTTAATGACAATTGTATGCGAGAGGCAAGGATTTATTAGGGTGATGCTGTCTTTAATTGGACCAACTACGTGATTGGGATACAGTTAGACAAGCTTTTGAATGCAAGGCATTCTTCCCTGGATCTGACAAATGTAGTCATTTTTTTCTTTCAGTGCTCTCGTAAGGATACAGAAGATATTTAAGGGCACAAAAGATATTTCTCTTCTTATCCAGATTAGAAATACGTAAGCTGAAATATAATTCAAACGTATGCTCCAGTTGCACCATAGCATATTATGGTATCACAACCAGCATCTCCATAGTTGCATTTTTTTCACATAAAACAAGGATTCAATCTTTGTTTTGTAGGAAGAATATAGTGCCTTTTCCCCGAAGTTTGCAGCAATTTTTTGTGAGAAAACGGAATTTTCTGAGAATTTTCAATGTAACCCATTGATTTTAATTAAAACATTGATTAGAAACTCCTAATGCACTTACCTTGGTGAGTCTCATCCCTATTTTTTACTGTTTTTATACCTATAAATGTGCTTTATGCTCCTGATATTCAGGTAGGCTGAGCACCTGTTGCTTCACTTGACTTCACGTGGAGTCAGAGACACTCAGCACTGAAAATTAGACACTCGGGTATGTAATATGTAAGATGAAGGTGTTTCTGTTCTGTTGTACCTACTTGGTATGGTCTTGCTTTCTTTCTTTTTACAGCAAGGTTGAAGCTGTACTTGCTTTTCTGATACATTACCATCCTATAAAGCCTTGCACTTCTCTTACAAACTGAAAATATATATTTTTTTGCATTTTACCTAAAACGAATCTTAGCAATTTTTACCATGCTAGGACAGATTTTTCCTGTTTTATAACAATTATATAAACTATGCAACCATACTAACTCCTCCCCAGTAATTCTCATTGTTGCTTCCCACTAAGAAATATGGCTAATACCAGTGCTTCATCTAATGTTTACTTCTATTTGTGCTTTCATACAACACCTTAGGTAGTTTATGACTTCATCTATGTTAATCTTTGATGATATTTTTACTTTTGTGCATGAGAATTCAATTGACTACTTGAGCTGTGGTTTTAGATCCTCTTGTGGTCAAGATAACCATAAAATATGGTCACTTTGCAAACAGTTACTGAAAAGTCTCCACACACAGCATGCCTGACAATTAAATGTATTCACTTCTATGGAAGGCAGCTTGGATTGATTTAAATTAAATTTAAAGTAATTAATATTCCTAAGTTTAATCAACAAGCAGGGACCTTTGTTTTAAATAATCAAAGTTAATTTGATTTAGTATTTGTAACTTTTAATTGTTTTCTTAAGAAGGACCGATTGCCATTGCTTGGTAATAGAAGTGCACTGATACATTGGTCCGATATCAGATTGGTACTGACATAAAGAAAATTGGCTGTTCTGTATTGAAAATTGGCCTGATGGGGCCGATAATTTGGCCAATAAGTTCCCGTGCTCCATGCAGCCTCAGTACAGCACTCAGGCAGCAAGGAGCGGAGCCTAGCAGTGTGGAGAACTGCCTCCAGCTGGTAAGTCCATTGTGGTGGAAGGGGAATGAGGGGGGCAGATCAATGCCCCCCACGGTGAGGGACCGGGCAGGGGCAGGTGCTGCCCAACCGAGATGGGGTGGGCATGGGATGGAGCCGTGTCTCGTGGAGGAGGATGGCTCCTGCCACTGCTTGCACCCTGGGAGGGCACGGGGGAGGTGTGTACCCCCAGATCTGAGGGCTGCAGCTGGAGCTGCATGGGGTTCTTCTTGTTGGGGGCTGGGCTTGGAGCGGGCACTGGGAGGTGGCTTTAATTTAATTGCAGCTGCACTCCCAGCGCCACAGCCACAACCGGCCCAGTGCAGCCCCAGCTCTTCCCGGCATGTGGATGGAGTCTGAAATTTGGGGTGGCTGCACCTGCCTCCCAGTGCTGCTGGGGCCTGCTCCAAGTCCATCTCCCACTGAGAGCCCTGCGCAGCTCTGGCTCCAGTCTGCAGCTGCAGCCTGCCCCACCTCACCCCGTGCAGATCTGGGGGCACATGCCCCTCGTGCCCTCCTGGGGTGCAAGCAGTGGTGGGAGCCGCCCCCCCACAAGCTGCAGCTCTATCCCATGCCTTCCCTGCCCCAGCCCCTGCCCCCTCCCTCACTGCAGGGGGGCATTGATTTACCCCCTCCCCTTCCACCACAACGGTCTTACAGGCTGGAGGCAGCTGTATCGGAAATCAGGTCAGTATCGGCCAATATGCCTCCTTAAATATCAGGTATCTACATTGGCCCCAAAAACCTCTATCAGTGCACTCCTACTTGATAACCATTACAAGTTGTTGCTTTAAAAATGAAAATACCATTAACGCCTACATACTAAACCAACAATTTTTTTTATGCTGGTGTGGAAAAAAAAAAGAGACAGATAATACATATCTCTAAGCTAGGGTGACTTCACTCAGTCTTGTGGAGAATTGCCTTTAAAAGAACTGGAGGGGAAACTAATGTTACAAGTTACACTAGTTTGGGTTTCATTTGTTTCTTCCATCTTGGTGTTGCTGTTTTGTTAAAAGCAAATGAGCCATCCATTGTTCCCAGCTCTGATGATAATAGCTACCTACTGTATGCAGTAGCCCTGGAGATAGCTGATGTAAATTACACTGCAGTATGTGCTGCCGGTCCAGGACCTAAATTTAGTACTTTTTGCTAACCAGAAGGATGTTATAGTAATACATATTTATTTAAGCAGTAATATAGCATGAAACATGCTTATTCTGAACCACATTTTTTGCATTTTTTGACTATTTTTATTAGATTATTTGCTGTTTAGATGGAAATTGAGAATAAATTCAAAAGCAGAGTTGAAGCATTTAAAATATATATTTTAATGGATTATAAGTTCCTAAAATGTGTTGGATACATAAACTTACTTTTAAATATGTTTTTCAAGTAATTTACTAAATAGAGACAGTATTATCTATGATTAGGGAATTGAACCAAGAGTTACTTTTTACCATGGTTTTCAGGGTTTTAGAACTAATAGTTCTCATTCTGTCATGTGCCATTTTTATTAACCATATATAGTGGAAGAAGGAAATATGCTTTTCTCCTCATTCAAATCATAATCAGCTTCTCTGTTTTGAATGACTTAGACATGGAATTTAATGTAATTCCATTAACTGAAATAAAGAGCTGTATCTGTAGAAGAGGCTGCTGCCCCCTCCAGAAGTGGTTCAGTGCTATTGAAAAAAAAAATCTGGTTCTATTTTCTTAGCCAGAGACTTCTGTTAGTTTTGTGGTTTAATTTTCTGCTTTGTGTTTTTCATTCAACTTAAAAATAATGAAGTATAGCAAGTTTATATCTTAACATTGGTTATTACAATTTCTGTAAGTATGTTTACTTACAGAGAGAAATAATTTAAGTCAAATCCATTTTTTTAAAATTATTTTTTAAATTGTATAACCTGATAAAATAATGTGTCCCCCATCAGTTGCTATACTGAATCAGAACATAATTCTGTAATGGGATTAATAACTCTCACTTTGAAAAGAACTGTATCTAACTTTACGTAATATTGGATTTTGTATCAAGATTACTTTTTCAGTATACCTTTATTAGAAGAATCTGGTATTGACATTGGTAGAGAATAATCTCTTAGACTGCTGGTCTGATCTAATTTAGCAGTTCATATTTTTTCTATGTTCCTGCCATTGCAGAGATATTTCTTTATACTGGGAAGTTCTTTATGGTTTTATATATATCTATATCTATAGATATAGATATATAAAAACCCCCATATATGATTTTTAAAAATCGAGGAAGAGTTTGCAGATTTACCAGTTAGATTTTTTTTCCCCTTATTTGAGCAAATTTCATAAGATACTCCTGAGAATGATAAAAATGGGTCTCTGCTCTACTGTTTTCTTTACAGAATTATTTTTCTAAGTTAGTAGATTCCAACCTTTGGCCCATGGCCTATGGGCAACTTGCACTCCATTCAAGTTGTTCATGTTCTACAAAAAGAAAAACAAATATTATTAACTGATCCATTGATTGTCTTACTATTAAGGTCATATTTTTACTGCCCATGAGAGTATACATTTCTAAGTACAACGTGAGGAAAATTTGAGTGAAGGCACTTGTTTATTTATATTGCACTACAGCATTAAGACTTCATTGTACTAGACACTGTTCAAACACATTATGAGACACATTGCCTGCCCTTGAAGAGCTTACACACAGACAGAGGGTAAGAGGAGAAATACAGTGGGACAGCAAAGTGTAATGACTTGCCCAGAATGTCACACCAGGTCAAGAGCAAAGCCAGGAACTGAATCCAATTCTTGTGACTTTATCAAGGACCCTATTCAGTAGAAACTACTGTTTCCTATACAGGTTGCAATGAAGGCCTATAACCATATAGCTGCAGTAGGATGTTTCTTGTCAGGCAGAGTTCATCCTTCTCTGCAGTTTAGAAAGCAAACAGGTATTTAAAAGGTAAATCTGAATTGTAATCTGCTTTAGACCTTTCACATTAGATACTTTATTGATGCCTTTTTTGTTGCAGGAATGAGCTGCAGGTAATCCTGGCCTCTCCACCATGTTTTTGCAGTGTTCACAAGGTTTACTGAAACTTGCAAGTCTTCATCTTCGGACCCCCCAACTAAATCAGTGTTTAACATATAATAGAAAGAGTTTTAGCACCAAATCGCTTTCTAAATGTCGAAGGCGAGTAGTTATCACAGGTATTGGCTTAGTATCTCCTCTTGGTGTTGGGACACAATTCGTATGGAACCGCCTTCTCCAAGGAGACAGTGGAATTGTTTCTCTAAATGGGGAAGAATATACAAATGTTCCATGTAAAGTGGCTGCTTGTGTGCCAAGGGGAAATGGTGAGGGTCAGTTTAATGAAGAATTATTTTTGTCAAAATCAGAGATCAAATCCATGTCTTCTGCCACTATCATGGCCATTAGTGCTGCAGAGCTAGCAATAAAAGACTCCTGTTGGCATCCACAGTCTGAACTGGACCGCTTCACTGCTGGTGTGGCTGTTGGAATGGGAATGGTTCCACTAGAAGAGATTTTCAATACAGCCTTGACATTTAAGACAAAGGGATATAGCAAAGTCAGCCCATTCTTTGTCCCTAAGATCCTGGTCAATATGGCAGCAGGTCAGATCAGTATTAGACACCAACTAAAAGGGCCCAATCATGCTGTATCAACTGCTTGCACTACAGGAGCACATGCTGTTGGAGATTCCTTTAGATTTATAACTTATGGTGATGCTGATGTGATGCTGGCTGGAGGAACAGAGGCTTGTATAAGTTCATTGTCTTTGGCTGGATTTGCCAGAGCCCGGGCCCTCAGCACTAATTTTAACTCAAGCCCTATGCTGGCATGCCGACCATTTGATTCACAGAGAGAAGGATTTGTAATGGGAGAAGGTGCAGCTGTGTTGGTGTTGGAAGAATATGACCATGCTGTACAAAGAGGAGCAAGGGTCTATGCAGAAATTTTAGGCTATGGACTCTCTGGTGATGCTTGCCACATAACAGCCCCTGATCCAAACGGAGATGGTGCTTTCAGGTAAGAACCTGTAGATTTACAGATAAATTATTAAGATGTTATTTTCTGTTAATCAGCATTTTACAACGGTATCTAGAGAAACATTGTGCACCTCTCATATATAGCATTCATATTAGGGCTGTGCGAAGCTTTGGTAGCCGATTTGATTTGGAGGAGATTTGGCCTGATTCGACAGCCGAATCTCTGAATCTGAATCAAATTGGGAGACCAATTAAAAGGTCCAAATTGAATCAGAAGCTTCTGAATCAATTTGGAAAAGATTTGGCGCTGCTTCAGAGATTCGGCCATAGATTAAACAGCACCCGCATCCCATGCCCCCTGCCCTGATTAGGCAAGTGGCAGGCTATGAATTAGGTGGCAGTGCTGGAAGCGGGAGCTATACCCTGCTGCCATTTGCCCCCTTCCGCCCTGCATCGCGCCCTGCCCCCGGCCTTGGCTGGGCAAGCGGCAGCAGGGCATAGCCCCCGCGCCCAGCACTGCTGTGCCCCCCTGCCCCCCTCGATGGAGGCAGCTATGTCCAGCATGGTGAGGACTGCTGCCTGTTTAGTCTATGGCTGAATCTCCAAAGCGGCGCCGAATCTTTGGATGCAATTCGGCCAAATCGAATCAGGATAGTGATTCAAATCTCCTAATCAAATCACTGTCCTTCCAAATCAGTTGAATCTGAATTCAAAGTGAATACTTGTCGCTTCGCACAGGCCTAATTCATGTGTATTTTATCTGATGTGTAAGTGATAAACAGGCCTACAGGTTTCCAAAAGTTTGAGAAATCAACCTGAATGATGAAAGATTTTTTTTTTAAGGCTATATCCTCTTTTTCTTTCTTTATGGTGTTGATGCTCTTTAGAATTGGCCTCTCAATAAAGTGTTATGAAAGGGTTATTCCATATTAGAATATTTCACATGTACTTTTGATATATACAGATTCACACAAATAACTCTCAGCAGGTTGTTGTTAAAGGTTATCATATTACAGTTTTTTTAACCTCATTCACCCTGTGCCTATAGACAGGAGCTACAGTAAAGTACAAAAGCAGTTTGTACTGCAGGCAGTGCTCTGGTTACCACAACTCAGTATACTATTTGTTTTTTTTATGAGGACACTTTGTTGATTCATATTCACCTCGTAGTCCACTATAACCCCCAAGTCTTTTTCCACAGTGCTGTAGCAGAGTCAGTCATCTTCCAATTTGTATTCAGGCAGTTGACTTTGCACTTCTTCTTAAATTTAATTAAATTCAAACCATTTTTTCTAGTTTATCAACGTCATTTTGAAACCTAATCCTGTCCTCTATTAGTAATCTAATGCTATCCTCCTTTATTGTTATACCGTGTAGAATATATTGATTGAATTATAGTTTACAGTAGATAAAGTGACCAACTGTGGGGTACCAAAATCTAGAACACAATACCAGGCCCTTCACAGTTCCGAGACTGAATACAGAACTCTGGAACCAGAAGGAGTCTACCTGGCACCACAGGAATGTTTAAAGGACTGACCACTCAGGACCAATTTTCCAAGTTTGGGATAAATTTATACTTGAGGGACTCCGGACGAACTCCATAATATAGCTCTAAAATTAATGACAGTCCTGGGAAGCCTAGTGTGGTTGCTCACTAACACTGCAAAAAAATATTTCACAGGTGAGAAAAGGGAGACACAATGAATGGACCCACAAACTATAGATATTACTGATCCATGGAGGTCCCTTTTCATTTGTAAAGTTAATACAAATGTATCACAATAAACAATTAAATAACATTTAATACAAAATGATCTATTTCCCACTGAATTTCTTGTTACAATTATATGTATGAAAAATTGATAATACATTTGTAAACAGTTATCCCAGAAGTAAAAATATTTGTAGTTTGGGAGACACTGAGATTAATTGTTAACCATTTCTCACTGCAAATTGAATTACTACATTTCTACAATGTTAAGATGTACATATGAAAACTGTGTTGCAAAGAACTAACAAGGATGGAAAAAAAAATCTGCAGCTAGGGAGAAACTGAGATTAACAATGAAATATAGAACAATACATTTCCCAGATTAGCAAAGCAATTAATTACAAACTAAGTGTTATAAGAAGAAATCTGGTAAATTATTCTTCTATATTAAATACATAATCAAGCTGAAATGTGGACTGAGCCTTACAAAACTATGCAGCAGCTGTATACTTAATATACTGACATTTGTTATTGAATGCACACATGCAGAACAACTCAAAAATTAAATCATTTAGTACATTCCCCTGCCAGGGCAAAAATCGTTTACAAAGGAAGGCACATCATATAAAAAGAGGAGAAATTAGCTAACCATACATTATACCTATAGCATCATTCCACCAAAGTCAGCACAGTGGACTGACTCACACTGGCACTTTCTAAGAAGGTACAGATAATGGACATTTAGGTTTAGCTATAATTAGGAGTCTCTCTCATCCATATCACTTCTCATTCAGCCCGCCTTCTTGTGGTGTTCTACTTGCTTTATTTTTTGGACTGCCTGGTATGGTTGTATCTATGTTATATATACACACAAAAGGGGTTGTTTTGAAAACCAATACTTTAAACGTCTTGACTTTTACACATGTCGAACCTTTAACTTACTACAGTAAAGCTATGAAAGCTAGAAAATTCTCCCTGTGTTCTTCAGCAATGTTATTTAGTTAATCCATGCAAAGCTCTCAGGTGGCTTATGTGCTTAAACAGATAACAGGTTTAAATGAGATCAAATCATTTATGCAGCATTAACACAATGTTCATTTTATAAACCTAAAGCATTAAAACATTGTAAATGGGGGTAACAGGTTTTCAAATTGTGTGAAAATCAGTTTTCTGCAGATTAATACAGATGAACATTTTCTGAGTAATAGGTAGAGTACCACATTTTTTTCAGATACAACACACCCCCAAAGAAAACACACAATGTTTTTGAAACAATGTTTTTGAAAGGCAAAACATAAGACTTTTTTTTTTCAAAATCATGGCTGACCATATGCTATAGATTGAGTCCTCCTGGCAACACAGAAGCATGGCATCAGGAACTTTCTAGTGTGACAGACTGTCGCCTGCAATACCAGGCTTCCTGGAAACTGTTTCCAGGACTTAACTCTAAGCCACACCAGGTTATGTCCTAGGCCTTTGCAAAGGGCAATTGTAAGACTGTTAGTTTCTTTACTGGAAGTACTTCTTCAAAAAAAGGTTCGGTAAATAAAGTGCTGTTTCCATATCACAAGCCTCTTCAAAAGATCACTTGTTGCTTCAGGCAAAAGCTCAGCCAGTAAGTACAGCCGTGAGAAGGTTAACACATGACACTGCCCCTTTAGCTTATTGAGCGTATACAACAGCAGCCATCCTGACAGCTGCATGTCATGGATGTTGTCTCCAACAAAGAAAACAGCTTCCTCACTTAAAACATGCACCCCAATTTTGGAGGGCTGTTTTTTGGGAGGAATGGGAAAGAGAAGATACATGTCATAGGTGAGAAAATAGAGCACTTTCATATCCATAGATATAAATATAAAAGAATGGGACCAAAAAATCAGCATGTTGTTTAGCCTTTTGTGACAAGGAAAATGCTGAGGTTGGCCTGCTGAAAATGTAACTATCCCATTATTTTTTGCCTGCAAATCAAGGGAAGTGATTCTTCTGCTCTGTTCAGCACTGGTGAGGTCTCAACTGAAATACAGGTTACCCTCGCTTTATGCTGTACTTGCATTCCTGGGAAAGGGTGCATAACTCGAATTCACATAAAGGGAACCCACTTTACAATGTAACAAATAGGGATATGTTTCCAAGAACTTGACTGTACTGACCCCCAGACCCATTTCTACCACTTTTACAAGACAATTTTGCTACCTACCAAAAGCAGACAGTACACACAAGTAGGGGTGTACCGATCAAGATTTTGGGGGTTTCATGAGGTTCCTTCCAGCTCTAGTTTCCTATGATTCCATGAAAGATGACCAAGGTCTAAATAAATATAATGTTCTTGCATTTCTGATGATAAAGTATATGGGCCTGTTTCTCCTTTGCCTTTCACCTTGTATGATTATAGTTGTACAAAGTTTGTGCCTTTATTCTGCATCCTGATTTCAGGTCATCCTGTACAGATGTTTGTGAACAACTCCAAAGGCAGTGGGAAATCAGGCTCTCTTTCTATCTCTTTCCTTAGATGTATGTCTGCAGCAATAAAAGATTCTGGAATAAGTCCTGAAGAAGTAACGTATGTCAATGCGCATGCCACTTCTACGCCACTAGGAGATGCTGCTGAGAATCAAGCTATCAAGAGACTTTTTAAAGAGCATGCATATAATCTTGCAGTTTCCTCAACAAAGGGAGCGACAGGACATCTCTTAGGGGCTGCAGGAGCAATAGAAGCAGGTTTTACTGCACTGTCCTGTTACCATGGAATTTTACCACCAACTCTAAACCTGCATAACACAGAGCCAGAATTTGACCTCAATTATGTTCCACTAACAGCCCAAGAGTGGAAAAGTGCAAAACGACGCATTGCTCTCACTAACTCATTTGGCTTTGGTGGTACTAATGCAACCTTGTGCTTTGGTAATATTTAGTTTAAAATGTGTATAATTACTATGCATTTAGATTGGTGCATAACCTGAAAAATTATTTGCAATGATGCATAACTTGTTGTCCCACAGCATTTTTACACAAACCAGAACACTTTTTATTTGCTCACATTTGAGACTCCTTCCTTCACCCCTCATTCCCTCTGATACTTACCAGGTTATATTACAGAGTGCAGGAGAAAGCATAAAATCATATTTTCAATAAGCAATACTTAATGTTGTATGGTTCCTGGACTGTGCTATGTGTCTGCAGTTCATACTCACTTTGCTGGGAATTCAGGATGCTCAGCACTTGGGAGGATTCAGCACTCATTGTTTAATTGGTCTGTTCTTTCCCTTACAGTATTATTAGTCTTATTTCAGTTTAAATGTAACCTTTGAAATAACAAATTCATCACTTCAGCAATGCTCTCTTTAAAAATAGTTTTAAATTCTCTAAAATACTTTATTACAAATAAGTCTGCAAAAGTATATGCCAAAATTAAAAAAAGCTTCCATTTTCCCCCCAGTAAGCTCAGAAATATAAAATGGTTTTTTAAATGGAATTGTTCTCCAAATCATTTTCAAAGTTTGTCCCAATTAGATGGGGAAAAAAAACAGTTTTCAGGTAGTGAGAGACAGCTGCAGGGTGTTGAGGCTTAGGCTTTTGTTTTCATCAAAGCTAAATCTTTTTACAACATGACAATAGTAACTCAGTTGAAATGACTTTTCCCCTAAAGGCTATTAGTGTACAGAGATATATTTTAATTTAAAGGGTGGGTTATTCTGTCACTTGCTTGTTTCTTCCTTGAATATGTTGGTAACCATGATTTTATTTCACACTGTGATAGATAGTATTTAAATAAATATATACAAATTCCCCTGCTGTGTGTACAATGAAAGCATTCCAGTCTTTTGCAGTGTATGACAGCCTAGAAGTAAAGCTTAGCCATGTTTTAAATTTTCCAGAATAAATGAAATTCAAAGAATAATTAGCATACAATATAAAAACAAATTTATGTTAAAAGATTACATTTAATAATCTCTCTTATTGCATGATCTCATCCTGCAATGTGCCTCTGTCTTTGAAATCCATGAATGTTGAATGTGTACGGTATGATAACTGTTATAGAATCATGGGGCATGCAGGGACTATTAACTTGATGTTTTTGTTAGTGATTATATTTCTGGTTTAGTAATCTAAAATAATATTTCCTACTGGGTTTAGAGACAATGAAGGTCATTAATACAAATCTCCAGCAGTGAAATAAGCGGGGAAAATGTCTCCTGAATTTTCAATCTATACCGCTCCCAGGAAAATTTTTTACATGATTCTAAGGCTAAGTACAGACAGTCAAAAATCCTGAGGCTGATTCAATTCAATCTTTGCAGATTAGTCTAAACTGTAGACTAAATCAATAAGCAAGTGAACAGTTATTCTCTTTTGATTCTGGAAATGCAGCCACATGCCCACAGTGGCCCAGGCCAGAAGCCAGGGGGTGCTAGAGCATGCTTCCTGGTTCAGCTGGAGCATACAACTTGGGCCAAGGCTAGCCCACCCATCCTATGAGGGGGGCGGGGGGCGTTGCTGGGTTCTAGGAGACTGAGAGTTAACTTGAATCTGGAGGGGATCTGGGACAGAAGTTTAATAAACCAGTTTAAACTAAATCAATTAAGTCTGATACTACATCCATCCAGGTTTATCTTGAACTGGTTTGGGCCTTTTTGAGAGTGGTTTATGTGCACTGAACTTCTGTTGTGTTACAGACAGCTTTGAAAGGTTTCCAGTCACTTATACCAGTTTGTGTGTCACTTCTGTTCCTAGCCTAGATTACTATAATGACAAATAACACAAACTATGTAAAATGACAGTCCTGGCTTGGGGTGAGTCTCAGTCTATGGCAAGCATAAGATTGTTACCAACCTGCTGGGGTTGCCATGTGGATGATGGGTGACTGCCTTGTGGGTTAAATATATTTATAAGTTCTTCAATGTGTTTGAGGAATATACTTTTTATCTGAATTTTTTTGTTCTCAATGTATAGTACTTTGCTTTATAAAAACTGATGTACCCTGTCCTTGTGTCTGAGAGCTGTGCTGCAGATTTGAACTGGAGTTAGATTTGCTGAGGTGTTTATAATGCATGGCGGGGGGCTGCAGCCTCAAGACCTCAATGGAGAGGATAACTGGTATCCCATCATATGAAAGGTGACAACAGAAGAACAGAATCCTTATGTGGGTTGCCATGAAGGGGACCATGAAGGTGTCAGTAGCTACTGTCAACGTGGAAAACTGAGGCACTCAGTACCTTGTGATTTAGGGTGTATGGAAAAGTTTTTATTTTCTAATAATAATTCAGATGTCTTGACAGTGTTGCATTAACTTCATAAGATGAGATACTTGATTCTTCAGAGGGAATCCATGGCAGGAAGCACCCGGTCTAGTCTCTGAGTGCTGCTATGCTAAGCAACCCTGCAAAGACAGACATCAGATGAAAATTTTCCATAATTACATAGAAGTGCATATGTGGGAGTAGTAACATGATCCAGCTCAATCAAATATGCATCTGTCTTGTGCAGATTTTTAAGCAGTCCAACATTGTACAAGTTGACTGTTGCCCATATTCATGTCATCTGTTTCATAAGAAGACATAAATAAAGATTCTTGAATCTGTTCCCATAATAGGTTACACGTTTATTTTAATTTATGACATTTTACAGAAACTTAGCTGACATTTGGCAAATTATATAACTAATATATGAAAAGAGACAGAGCAACAGTTTAAAGAGGAATGCCTAGGTGGCAAATGAGCTGAAACACAGAGTAGAAGTGACATTTTTAATAGGCCATCAATGCACAACACATGATGATGTGCCCAGACATGCTGTGAAGAAGACAACCTTTCTGACATATGCCAACCTTACCTTAACATCTGTCCCAATCTAGCATACTGACAGAATTTATTTTGCTGTACTTAAACAGTAATAAAAATCCCATTACTTTTGTAGTTTTGTAGTCCCATTCCTTTTTGCCTAAACCAAGATTAGAAGCATGACATCGTAAAATGAAAAGCTTTTTTTTTTTTTTTTTTAAGAGGAAATGCATCAAAATGAAAATATCGTATTGAAATAATATGCTGAGGTTATAGCTACTCGGTTATCTGTTATTTGGTTATATCATTCTGAGCTTATGGCTTCTGTGAACAGCTTAGTTCTGTTAAAAATGAAATGCATGTATATGGTTTCAAGAAAATGTTTTCCTTTTTACCCTCACCTCTCATGTTATTATTAAAATACTTGAACACCAAGACCTTTCAGAAAGCAAGATGGAATTGCACCTGACTTCATATATGGATATTACTTAATGAGTTAAGATATGATGTTAAATATTCTTACCTGGAGACAGAAAGGAACAGGTGGGCATTTCAGTGCTCTATAATACCATAGGAATTGCCTTGTTGTATGACATATGCCAACTGTCATACAGATATGCTATCTGTCTGGTAAAACAACTATCCAGAGCAATGTCCTGTAGCAGTGATTTTGGAAGGAGGTACAAGAAATCTTGCAGTTGCCAGTTAAGGATAATAATTCCAAAGAAGTTTATTTGTACCTCACTGAATATTCGAGATTGACTAATGATCTAGAGTGTTAGGGTTAATATATTTCCCAAATCTCTCTTTTTGATGTATCATTACTGCAGTTCTGCATGGACAATTTTTTATAAATGTCCAATCCTTTTTTTGAACCACAATGGGTTTTTTGGCCTCTGGGATATAAGGGCTTTGAAGTGCACTGGATTAGTAACAACAGGCACTGAAAAAGAGGACTAGAAGTCAGGGTTTCCTGCTCCTAGCTCAGTACATTTGCCTGCCAATCTACAAGATATTTTTATTTTAGCACTTGCATAGTATTTTTCACATAGCAATCTCATGCATGCAGACACACACTGAAATGTTTCCAAACATAACAGGCCTGGAAACAGTTAAAAAAATTATAGGGTTTCACCCCAAGACATACAGCTCCTGTCACACCTTTTGGCTGGAGCACATCAGTATCACCACAGCTGCATACAGAAATACTCTTCAGCCAGCAGGGCCAGCCCACAATTTTTTGGGGCCCCCTGATCCATTAAAAAATCAAAATTGTGGTTAATTGCAGTATAAACTCACTGAAATAAAATAGTTGGGACCAGGCTGGATGCATGTGGGCTCTGCAGGGTTGGGGCAGCACATGTTGGGGACACCTGGGTTCCCTCCCCAGGGCCAGGGCAGGAGTGGAGCTGGGAACTCCTCCCGCTCACCTGGAAAGGGGCTCCCTGCCTACATCGAGCCCTTTAAACATGGCGCAGGCGGGGGGAGAGGGGAGCAAGCAGGGCACATCCCCTTGGGTGTGGGGCTTCCTGCAGCTGCAGGTTCTGCAGGATAGGACAGGCCGGCCCTGTCAGCCAGGGGCTGCAACACTGGCCTGTGATGGTGTGTGGCTCCATTTCCCTCTCCCATCACAAAGTAGAGTGGTACTACTCTGCAGCCCACCAATCTCCCAGGGCTGTGGTTCTGCTTCTTTCCTCCCCTCTGATTTTATGGGGAGCAGAGAAGATGTCAGTGGATGTCAGAGTGCCATTGCCCTCTCTAAGCGCTAGAATGGAAGTCTGTAGCTCCTATGCTGTGGAACCAGAGAGGTATGCGAGGAGTAGGGGCTGCAGAGCTCCGGTGGTGGGGAGGGCATGGAGTCTCCTGGTTCCACTTATGGTCTGTCTTGCTCTCTCTTCCTCTTCTCCCATGGTGGGGGGAAGCAGAGAATTGTGGGATTCTGGAGGGTCCAGAGGTCTGTCATACTCCATAAGCATATACGCATCAAGAAAAAATGCTTCTAAGGAGTTCTTCATTCAAACAGTTACTAGGCTGGAGAGCTTCAAAGGACACACCATTTATACAGCTTACCATTTGAAGCACTTCAAAGGTATTTAAAATGCTTCAAATGTGACTGCTGCCTGGACCTGGACAAAGGTCAAATAGTGGAACATGTTAAAGAGCTAGGAACAGAAGCTAGCTTCTGACTCCAGTTCCTCTGACCAGAGAAAAGTAGTTAGCCATGTCATTGTGTCCTGTCCAGCTTTCTAGTCAGGGAAATACAGATCCTAATAAAAGCTGGATCAATTCTCACATCTAGTTATGCACAATGTCAACTTCAGATAAGTTCATTTATGGAAAGCTAATGCTGTACGAGTGAGGGACAATATTTCAACAGACAGATCCCACCTTAATTAATGTGCATTTAGAAAAAACATACTGAAAAATATGATGGACTGATGAAGAAATGAAAATGCATCATAGGAATGTAATAAGCTGATGGGCAGAAATCCAAAGTTATATTTTAATTCAAATATTGTAAATATAATGCAAGGTATCTACCTATGTAATGACAACATACATAAAACATTAATCTCTCTGCCTTTTTATTTAACTAGAGTTGCTTTTTCTTATATACATGGTGCTAAAGGTATCAGAAATGATTATACAGCTAAAGTAGGCACATTAAAAGTCAGCATTCAACCGTAGTTGAAAACTGATGATTCACTGGAGATGATAGCATAAGGCTTATAACTAAACTGGCTCTGTTGGCACCTGCTCCAATTACGACTGTTTTTTTTCCCTGTCATCATTTTTCCAAACATAGAAAACTTGTAGACTTAATCTTCCACATAGGTGATGTTCAGAAGACAACAGTATAGGGAACATAGATCTCTACTTTATTATTCTCTTCTTTTTATCTTTGCTGTAGAATTTATTACTTCTCATACATTGTTTCTGTGTTAAATCAAAGCAGTGAGACACAACAGTGAGGAGTTTTTTTATTCATAACTGCACAGCAAGACTATTCACGCAACAGTGACTACACTTCCAGCATGCACTGGGTTCATTTGAAAACTGGGCTGGACTCTTCAGGGGTAGGTCTGTTTTATTGTTCCAAAATACTGGTTGTGATTCAGATGGTTGATATCACAATGTGGCATTTTAGTACTGAATAAACTAGAGAGAAAGGAAAAGGGAATGGTGATGCTGGGTTGCTCTTGTCATCAAAACAATGGAAAAATAAAACCATGTAAAACTTTTGGAATTTTGCAGAATCTTTTGGGAGATAGTATTTCTTTTGGAATTTTGCAGAATCTTTTAAATGGCATTTAAAACAGACTAAAGAGAAACAACCTGGGGTAGGGGCTAAGAGCTTAGAAAGGATCAATGTTTTACACAAAAAATGAAGTTTAATACTGGTATATAGGATCCAGTAGGAAATACTTTGCAAAGGAACAACTGAAGTCAAGAACATAGCATTTTTCTTTTTAGCATCAGCAAATGTCCTAGTTAGCTAACTCTTGGACAGTGCTTGACATAAGAAAGATTTTGGGGGTAGAGCTGGTTATCAGAGGGATAACTGATTAGACCTTTCACAA